GAGTTCAAGCTTCAAACCTCGGAAATTACTCGCATACCAAAGAGGTCCCGTAATCATTACCAGCTGGAAGCCATTTTCAAATGTCAAAAACTTCGAAGACTCGACGATAATCCAAATATAATTAATAAGAAATCCAATTCCGTTGTTTCGGGCGGCTAATAACGGCCATTGTTATATTTTCCATTGATCTACAAGAAATTTGTGGATATTCGTGCAGTACCTTGTTACGGAATTACACACCGGCTGTTATAAGCCATTGAAATTTTGGAAAGTGTCGCGTATTTGTTTTGTTTAAACAAAAGTATTATTATAACATGGACTAGAAACAGTGAACCGTGAAAAATATACTTTAGAGTGATGTCACAAAATTATGTAATGTTGAATGAGTTGTTTTTTTATTATTTTATCTTATACATGACTTTTTCTTAAACATATAATAGTAATCTTGTACAGGAATTCCGACAATGATTTTTAATTATACTTCTTTGATTACTGATTTCACTGACGTCGCTGTTTGTTTTTTTTAATACACAATTTATTATAATGTAAAAATGTAACATGAAAAATCGATACGTGGGTTTGAACTGTAACAGTAATAAAAAAAATAGTTGCAAATACCTCAAATATGAATTTTATTTTTTTCTCTAGTGTGCCTAGAAATGTACGAAAACCAATTTATAATCATCATTAAAAAAATCTTTTTTTCCATTTCATGCTATACTTTTCCATTTCGTGCTATGTTAACTAAAAATCGACTTCCCCATTTCTCACACCAGTTCTTGATCTCCCACTTAGAAACATTTTAATCACAAGGACATATATTATTCAAGTAAAATTTGTGTATTAAACATGAATAGTGAATGATGAATTATGAGAGAAACGTGTGCATCAATGGATCGTTCACTTTCACGATATAGTCTCTGTATAGGTAGGCTTGAATTTTATTATGCGTTAATATGACATCGTATCAGACTTCCGTACGCAACGTCACAGCCGAAAGTAAATGTTCGTGACTTTTGTATGTAGTTCAAAGCCGGGAGTAGAGCGCGGTAAAGTATTTGAAACTTCATTCAACAAAAACTGTTCTTGTAATGTGATTTTAACTAATATTAAGTTATTGACATCATCAGTGGCATAATGAAAGTGGAGCCGTAAAAAAAAACAGCGGAATTGTTAAGAGTACAAAAAAAATTGTAAATATAATAATATTCTATTAAATAAAACATAAATTCTCACCCACCTTTTCAGTATTAACTACTCTGACACTTAAAATAAAATAATTAATTAAATTATTTTTTATTGGTGATTATGTATTTTGTTAATTTTTACGGGGACTTTAATTTAATACAATATATTTCGTTCGATATGTTGACGAGGCTTGTTATTCTGGTGACTATACTGATAGCCAACTTCAAAGAAAATTAAAACAGTATCTAAAAATCATACGTAAAGCTCTAAAAATGAACTGCGGTCTTCAAACAAAAAAAACATTCAGTGTTATTTTACTATCTCGAGAACAACAACTGAAGTCTCACAAAAAATCCCTACTTCGTCACATTCTTAAAACACGAGTTGCGATAATTTGAATGTAGTAGATTTCATTTCGATTCGCGTCTTGCAAAATTTTTGCTCATTTTACAACGCAGTTTTACCTTTCAAACCAACCGTGAAACACTGTCAAAATTGTAGCGAATGAAAAAAAATATCGTTCATAATAACTTGCACAAGGTTCCTATTCACTATATCTGCCTTTATTAATACTGGCCAGTAAGGTCCGGTAAGTAGGGCTGCCTTGCCTTGCCTTAAAAAAAAAGAAAAAAATTGACAGATTTCATGGTTTTGAAGACAACATTAGCCCTATGTTTGAGTTTTTTTATTTTTATTGCTTAGATGGGTGGACGAGCTCACAGCCCACCTGGTGTAAAGTGGTTACTGGAGCCCATGAGCATCTACAACGTAAATGCGCCACCCACCTTGAGATATAAGTTCTAAGATCTCAGTATAGTTACAACGGCTGCCCCACCCTTCAAACCGAAACGCATTACTGCTTCACGGCAGAAAGAGGCAGGGTGGTGGTACCTACCCGCGCGGACTCACAAGAGGTCCTACCACCAGTAAAAAGTGAGTTTTAGAAGGTTTTTTTTTGTAATATATTATTAGTAAATTTATGTTGAAAAATCTAATCAAATAAACTACAGATTTCAAGTATATTGATTAACAGCGTAATCATCATCTCATTATCATCATCATGGTTCCAAGCCGGCTTCGGCAACGGCGACCAAAATTTTCTGTTCAGTAACTTAAAAGCTAATGTCCGCGCCTCTCATGCGCTCTAATATGGCTATGGTAGCCTATCTTGTTCTTAAACGTGCGCAAACAGAAGCTACACGTACGAACATCACCCACGAAGTTGTAGAAAATGGTAGAAGGCGGTCTATTTTTCAGTTTATTTCGTCTGTCGTCCAGTTCGCGACTCCTGTCGTTTTCAAAGACATGCACGCCCTGCTGCACCAAGCGTCTCCACTCCAAACGATTCTGTGCTCGGGCCTCCCAATGAGAGGGCGTAAATGGGTAGACCGTCGGACAGTCTTTGATATTGACAGGATACCAGAGCTAGTAAGTAAACTTACGTCATAGTTACCTAATTAGCTTGTTTTACTTTTCAGAATTTCTTTCCTTTCATCGCCGGAAGCATGTTGGCAGCCCTAGTTAAGTGTAACACAACAAAGAATCAAGATAAAGTCGCAATGCGTTTGTCGATACTATGACAGGGACATTTACTTCTGAACTACTAAATATGTATAGCTAATTTAAGCTGACCGTTAGGAAATCGACCGAATATAGGAAAGGATTAGAAACAGCTTTGGATTTGTACTGTTACATAATGATTAAACTATAAATGTGAAAACAAATTCCGTCGAAGAAAATTGTACGTACCCAATATTTTTTTACATTGCAATTACATTGTATACATTGACTTAGTATCTTTAGTAATTTTGTAACAGGTAATTACTGCAAATATCGCATGACCGGATGAAAAATTAACTTTTATATTTTAAATTTTACTTACTCTAAATTAATAATATATTTTATATTATAAGATATTATAAGATATTATATATATTATAAGAGCTGACGGAAAACTGCAATTTTCATTTGAGAAATAAGCTGTCCGCTTGAAACTCTTCGCTTCTTATTAAGCTAAACTACAAATATATACAAATATATAAATATACAAATGTATAATTATATAATACATCTTTAGATTTTTTAAATTCGTCCGGCAATAGTTACGATCAATTGCCCCAAATTATTCGGATAAATTGATTTCCTACTTCTCGGAACGATCTCACCATCTATCACAGTGTTATTTAAGACGAAAAAGTTATTTCATTATTTTCTAAATTAAACATAACGAAAATGCGATCTGCTCTTAATTTTTGTTTATGTGTGCTGCTAGAAGAAAGCACTTGGCAATAAACCGTCTAATTAATGCTTCTTAGTATTCGGATTTTCATTCTTACATGACGTTATGTGTGTATAATGAAACAAGCTCTTTTCTGCATCTCATATGAACTTTTAAGGTAAAGTTTTCGTAGCTTTCTCTGCCAAAACTTTTTTTTAACCAAACATGTTCAATTTTTATGTTTCACAAGCAAGAACTTTTTGTGTGTTCTGCTAAAAGTTTCCTCGGAATTAAAATTTGAAAGTGAAACTGCGAGACGATAAATTAAATTAGTTAAATATACAAATGCTTAAATTAAAGCTATGATTTGTTTAGACGAACGATACCGATCATGAAATCAAACAAACCTAAATGTAATATGATCCATCAATTATGATAATAGAAAATTTAAATTTTAATAACATTAATTATTAAATCCTCTGAATTTATTTTAATGTGTAAAGAAAACAAATAAAAAGACGTGGTCTGAAAAACAGTAAAGTATGTTGTTTCACTGTTCCACAGCCGAATTGATGCGAAAATAGCTGCGCCAACGTGTAACGATAGAGATAATATCATCACATTCTTTTCAATAAACAAATATCTTAATTGTACATCTATTGCTAATGTAAATTAATTTAGAGTCGAAATAGTTTTCATTCTGTGGGCTCTTACGACGTTTTCAAACAAACGCTGCAAATTTTTTACGTCTCCGTTAAAATTTGTAAAAGTTTTATCATCAAGTCTCAGGTTTGCGATTTGACAAAACAATTCATCGTTTAAATCGTACTAGTCTTCGTGGCCTAACGGATAAGACGTCCGATGCATTCGTGTTGAGCGATGCACCGGTGTTCGAATCTCAGGCGGGTACCAATTTTTCTAATGAAATACGTACTCAACAAATGTTCACGATTGACTTCCACGATGAAGGAATAACATCGTGTAATAAAAATCAAACCCGCAAAATTATAATTTGCGTAATTACTGGTGGTAGGACCTCTTGTGAGTCCGCACGGGTGGGCACCACCACCCTGCCTATTTCTGCCGTGAAGCAGTAATGCGTTTCGGTTTGAAGGGTGGGGCAGCCAACTATACTTGAGACCTTAGAACTTGTATCTCAAGGTGGGTGGCGCATTTACGTTGTGAATGTCTATGGGCTCCAGTAATCACTTAACACCAGGTGGGCTGTGAGCTCGTCCACTCATCTAAGCAATAAAAAAAGTCACAATCACGCAACGCAATCTCGTCCAACATAATAAGATGCAAATAGACTAGTTTAATTTCATTGGAACGTTTTAGTATTTTCACTCGAATGTAATTTCGCAACGTTTCGTTCTCGCGGTATACACGTTTACTTTCGTGAAACAAGTTTAAAACTTGCCCGTTATTACGAACTGCAACTGCAAGAGATATAATTAACTTGAAAAACTGTTGTGCAGAATCAACGGCAGTCGTGACAGCGGACACTCATGGCCACTACTTTATTTAGAAAGCGTCACATTTATCGTTGAACTATAAAACGCTATCATCGTAAGAGCAAACCTAAAACACTCACCTTCAATTAAGTCTGATTGTTTTGAACTCGGATTACATAAAAATTTCGAACACTCTTTATATCTTATGTGGAATCCAACATCATTCCAGTTGTCACATGAAAACACCGATACCACCTTCACTGAAAGTTTGGGTACGAACTTATTAACGTAACACACACTTTCCGCCGTAATTCTACATAATCGAATATTCGGAATCGATAAATTCGAGTTCCGTATCACTGATTGCGATGTCAACGTCCTCAGTGCAATCCGGACACTGAAAACAGTGTCGCTACTGGTTCGGAGTTTTCACGCGCGAGTGAACATTCGCAATAGAAAAAAAAAAAAAAAAAAAAAACTAAGAAATTATTGAATAGCATTCGAATTTTGAATCAATGGCGGGAAGCGTGCGTTACGTTGTAAGCGTGCGTGCGGGACTCGTACGCGGTGACCGATCGGGGCGCGAAATGCGACTGCGGTGACCGGGGCTCCCGCGACACTCTCTGCCCACCGCCTAGCCGCATGTGTAAATGTTAATCCGTGATATTATTTAGTTTAACCATTTCTAATTGACCCACTGCAGCCGGCACGAGGGCCTTTCCGCCGCTCACTTTGTGCCGCAATGCAGAATCGAACTGGTCCCCGTAATAATGGACGCTTCGATAAGTGACCGGACCGGTTGCGCTCGCGGTCGTACAATGNCGCGACACTCTCTGCCCACCGCCTAGCCGCATGTGTAAATGTTAATCCGTGATATTATTTAGTTTAACCATTTCTAATTGACCCACTGCAGCCGGCACGAGGGCCTTTCCGCCGCTCACTTTGTGCCGCAATGCAGAATCGAACTGGTCCCCGTAATAATGGACGCTTCGATAAGTGACCGGACCGGTTGCGCTCGCGGTCGTACAATGGAGGCTTTCAGAAACAATATTTCAGGCTGATTTCAAAAACGTACACATTTTTCTGTTACATAAAATTTGTCTTATGATTGTTTTACAGTCCCATCCCTAGTTACATAAAAACAATGGTTAAGCATTTTGTGTAACAAGTAAACAAAGGTATGTAAATTGTTTTAAATGGGTGAGTGATGGTGGAAGGTTTCTAAAAGCGTTCGTGCCTTTTTAAAATTCAAGCAACGTCAAAGTTATTGTGTAAATATGGGAACTAATCGGAAAATGGTGCCAACATATTTGTCAAAGCGGTCGCTAGTGAGCGTGTTGTAGTGGGTCTATCGGGGTGGATATTACTGTACATGTTTCCAACGCGGTGCTTCCAGATTCATGACCAACCGTCTAACATTCCTTAAGAATACATAGGAATAGAATTATAGGATTTAAAATTATAAGAACGGTAAAGCACTATACTTGAAACAACACATTTTTTTTTTATTGCATGGGTGGACGAGCTCGCAGTCCACCTGATTTTAAGTAATTAACGGAGCCCATAGACATCTACAACGTAAATGCCGCCACCTACCATGAGATTATTATTATTCTTAAGTCTCCGTTTTTACAGTACAACGGCTGCCCCACCCTTCAAACCGAAACGCATTACTGCTCACGGCAGAAATAACCGGGGTGGTGGTACCTACCCGTGCGGACTCATAAGACGTCCTACCACCAGTAACCTACATACGAATAAGTGCTTACGAATGACTCCCATGATGAAGGAATAACGTCGTGTAATAAAAATTAAACCTACGAATTTTATAAGCTCGCCTTACTTCTAAGATATAGATCGTATTCTAAACCTCTAACTATTAGGGGTTAAAGTATGAAATTGCCGATTTGTACTGAAAAATTTATATTCGTTTTTTTTTTCATTTAACATATTTAATTATTATCTATACATTGCTGCCATCTAATAGGAAGGTCATTTATGCCTTTGCGATAGAACTCTGGTGATCTAGATTCTACAAACGGTGTGAAAGCATTTTGTACTGCCTCTTTGGATGAAAACTATTTATCACGTAGAAAATTGTCCAAATCACGAAAAAAATGGCAGTCCGTTGGCGCAAGGTCTGGTGAATACGGAGGGTAACGAATGGTTTCTAATTGCAGTTCCTGTAGAGTTAAAACGGTTTCTCGTGCGGTATGAGGTCTTGCATTATCATGGAGCAATAATGGTGAAGATCGATTCATGAGTCGGGGCTATTTCACTGCATGTTTTGCTATCATTGTGCGGAATTTGGCACAGTAGACATCTGCCGTTATTGCTTGACCAGACCGGAGAAAGCTATAGTGAATAACAAAACGTTGAGACCACCACATAGTTACCATTACCTTTTTATTGGTAAGCTTTGTTTTAGGACAAGAAAGCGTTTAAGCCAAAATGACATGGTGCGTTCATTAGCAGTCCCCTCTCCAAACGCAACATAGATATTGCGAGCTGTTTCTGCAGCGTTAGTTCCGCGTCGGAACTCGTATTCAAAAATCACTCGAATTTTCGATGTATCCATCTTTCTTGTCTGAGCTGAATAAAAAAACTACTGAAAATCGATAATCGAATGTTGCACATTTTTTAAAAGCAGAACCCCTTACGTAAAATAGGCAGTAGGCCGAAACTCTTACCTGGTATCCACACCTAGGGGGCGCTTGGGGTATGTTCCACAGCACGTTCGGCGATGACAGTGACGACAGCAGCGTGGATCAAAGCTGCCGACGCGTCGTCCCATCCTCCAGCCATAAGGCTAGAGTGACGGTAGCATGCGATGCAGCCTCGACCCCTTCAAGTCGCCCCGTGACTATCACCGGGAGACGAACGCCTTCTCACAGGGCCGGAATCGCTGCGCCGCGAGGGATGAAGATCACTCCCTCTTCCTTTCCGCCGCCTCCTTCTGCGAGATGGTTTACTCGCCGACGTCGAACATCGTAGTCACAACTTAGTATTAGGCGAACCGTGAACTCATCAGCCCCACCACAGTAATAACCAAAATAGCAGCACCTTACAAAATATTACGTTATTCAATAACCACAAATGGAAGGATTTAAAAATGTACACAAAAAAAATTATTGAAGAGGCGGTAGGATCCATGCAATGCTGACTACGCGACGCTATTATTATTATATTTTTTTTATTGCTTAAATGGGTGGACGAGCTCACAGCCCGCCTGGTGTTAAGTGGTTACTGGAGCCCATATATATCTACAACTTGAACGCGCCACCCACCTTGAGATATAAGTTCCAAGGTCTCAGTATGGTTACAACGGCTGCCCCACGTTTCAAACCGAAACGCATTACTGCTTCACGGCAGAAATAGGCAGGGTGGTGTGGTAGTACCTACCCATGTGGACTCATAAGACGTCCTACCACCAGTAACCTACATACGAATAAGTGCTTACGAATGACTCCCGTGATGAAGGAATAACGTCGTGTAATAAAAATTAAACCTACGAATTTTATGACCTCCCCTTAGTTGTGTTACCTACCCGTGCGGACCATGAATGAATGACAGTAAAAAATTATGACCATGAATGAATTATGAATGACAGTAAAAAAATTCAAAACAATCGACTCATAAAATTATATTACATTGCACAGAATACTAATTTACGGGTACTTTCCCAACACAATTTTCAAATTTCATGTGTTCGCGAAATTTTGGCGCTGTTTTAGATCACGCGATAGCTTAAAGCGATTTCCAATTATATCACGTTACAAATTCCCATGAGTTACGTTATGATGGATTTGTTTATTAATGTTTACAGTTCTACGTTTCACGCTAAGTTTTTAACAATGAACTCTGAAGCCGCACGCAGAAAAACGATCAAGGTTCAGTGCCTACGCAAGTTGCATTGCCCAACTGAAAAATGGCGCAACGATTGGCACTGTTGTCATTTTTGGAACAACAAGCAACACGGAGAAGGCGTACATTAAATTTCTTTTGTATTGGAGTTTAGTTCTTAACAATCGATTTCATTTAAAGACCCCGCATCAGTGTGTTAAGCAGTAAAATCAAGCGTCCCCAAAAAAGCGTAACGTTTTTAAATTCAATCGGAATAACGGAATTTATTATATAAAACTAAAAAAAGGATGCGTGTACTTATGTACACGCGTAAGAAGTTATGGTTTATTTTTATTAAATTTATTTCTTTTTTTTATTTAAATTTTAATCAATTTGAAAAAAATCGATTAAACAACATCCTCAAACATGCATATTGGACATCCCTTTTCTTGACATCGTATAAATTCGGTAATTCTCGGTGCGGTTCGAAAAGTTCACCTGGCTATATTCAGACTCGCCAAGTTACGACGGTCGTATTTTAATGAGCGATTTAGTGGGCAACTTCATTCTGTTAATTTTGTGTCACGTTGCGCGTGCATCGTAAAATTTCACTCTCATCAATTTTTCATAACGCGCCTAAAGAAGTATTCAATCGTGATGGCCTATGTCGGTGTAGTGTAAGGAAAGAGGACTAGGTAGCGTAGTACCTGGTCCGATCAAATTAAGACGACTTTGGACTCCAGCATCATTGTCGCTATCCACTGCGCAGAGGACATGAAGGAATGGAGGAACTTAGTTCAAGCAAAAGTGCTCCGTAAAGAACACGACCCTCAGCACTGACGAATACGACGCAAGGAGAAAGAGGAGGAGGATCTAGCGTCTAGTTTAGTAAAATGTCTACTTGATAAGTATTTCTATTGTTACGCGCTAGGGTTCTGGATAAATAAAATTCCACCGAAGTAAAACTTAAAAACTGTATTCAACACTTACAAAACTCTCAATCCGCTTCTTCCGCTTCGCTACAGGTAATCACAAAACAGATTACTGACTGACTGCGTGCCATCTCTGCAACGCTTTTATAACCGATACCACATCCCTAGAATTATCGAGAATATTCCTCACATCTCTAGTAGTGTGTTTCCGCTATCTGACAATAGATGGCGTTGTACTTCTCGAGCGTTCTAGGTGCTGCTAGATCCTTCGATATTCGTTCGACTATTCGGCGATAGATGGCGCTACTTTTACCGGCGTAACACTATTTTAATACGTATAGGGTTGGTGTACCAAAGCTATTCATAGCCGACAGTAATTTGTTTTACCTGAACAATTATATGTGATACTAGCGGCCCGCTGCGGCTCCGCTCGGTTCTTTAACAAAAATTTCAACGATATTTGACGTTGTTTTATTTATTAAAATAAAAGAACACTTATTGCGGCATAACTATAATAATTAGACATATGCTATCGCGACACCTTTGTAAATAATGTGTTCTACAAAGTCGTAGTCCATTTTATTATTCTATCGTCAATAGTTTTCGCAGGGCACGTGATGTAAAGAATATTTTAGGTAATTTTTTTACACCTTGGGTTACATTATTGGAGTTTTAGTAAGGATCCCTAATTTTTTTCAAAAAAGATTATAGCCTATGTCACTCGGGAATAGTGTAGCTTCCAATTAGTGAAAGATTTTTTCAAATCGGTTCAGTAGTTTCGGAGCCTATTCAATACAAACAAAAACAAATCTTTCCTCTTTATAATATTATAGTATAGATGAAAATAACGAAAAGTATTATAGCATTTAGTGCTATTTACCCCATGACAATCGCATTTAAAGCGCGTCCAATAGCGCGTTGAAGCTGCCACAGACAGTTTTTATAATACTTGTATGAGGGAACAATCGAGTTCAC